TCTGTGCCTCCAGTGGTTTTTTTTTTTTTCAAACTTCCAAGACTTAGACCCCACCCTGACTAATGAAATTGTTGTAGTCTCTGGAGGGACCACACAGACACTGAAGGTTACAGAGTGTCCAGCACTGAGGACCATGGGGTGAAGAGTGTTTGATGAGGTTGACTATCTTCCGGCGGGAGAAGAGAATGATTGCCATTTGCTGAGATTTAAGTCTTCTAACCCTGCACCCTTAAGATCAAATTAAAATTTATAACTCCTAGGATCATTAGTCATCTTTCCTAGGAACATAATTCAGAATGGCTGGCCCACAGAGTGTAGTCGTGAACCATTGGCAACTCTCTTAGAATCTGCCAATTAGTACAAATTCAGGAGGACACTTAAAGTGGAACATAGCTATTATTTCTGAGACATCACACATTTCCCCTCAGCAGATTCTAGTCCACTAACATATAGATTTCCACATTGTATTTTTCATTTTCCTCAGAGGAACCCAGCTGGATGAGTTTATCCACATCTGGCTAGAAGCCTCACAAGGGAGGGGTGATATATTGTAAATAGTCCCAAGCCGTTTGTGGGGTGCGAGAGATAGATGGCTCAGCGGTTAAAAGCACATGTTACTTTTGCAAAGAACCTGGGTTCAGCTCCGAGTATCACACGATGGCTCACAACCATCTGTAACTCTACTTCCAGAGTATTTGGCCCCCTTTTTTTTGACCTCTGAGGGAACCAGGTATGCCTGTGCTACACATGCGTACATGCAGGCCAAACATTCATACACAGATTTTTTTTTAAAAAAAAAGTACATTCATAACTACTAACCTCAAGGTATTTAGAGGGCAGAGGTTCTTAGTCTGAAGACCTGAAAAAAAATGTAGTATTTCAAGGTGTTAGTTTAAACCATGTGGTTCAGGAATTTTTGAGATAGGGTTTTGCTATATAACCCTGGCTAGCTTGGAACTAGCTATGGAGAACAGGCTGGCCTTGAACTTTCAGTGATCCTCCTGCTTCTGCCTCAGAGTGCTGCGATTTAAAGGTGTGTGCCACCACTGCCCAGCCTAATTATCTTTAGTTGTAACCAAGCCAAGGAATATTTGAGAGCAAGAGGGGGCTGTATTATACTCAGCTATTTAGGCGTCTCCTCCCACTGGGCTGTAAGAATTGAGTATTGCACCCCTAACATCCAGCAGTGTCCGAACAGTGGCAGGAACTTAAGGGGCAGTTTGACATGCTGCCTAAAAGGAGCAACTTTTTTAAGCCTGACCTGGGCTTGACTCCTGTCTACCATTGACGTGCTCTGTGACTTTGGACAACTTACTTGACCTCTTCCACTCTGTTTCCTGTCCCTGTTCCTCTAGAATGAGGATAATAGTGGCATACACAGATGTCATATCTCTATCACCTATCATGAGCTGAAAATGCATTTAATTCTCCTTTCCTCCCAGCGCTGGCTCAGTAGCCATGGTACACAGTAGAGTAGCAGGTGTTTACTGGTGTGATGGTGTGGATGACTGGAAGGTGCCCAGCATCACCAGAGCACACGGGATTACATATCTCTGGTCCAGAAAAAGACCTGAACTCAAAATCCAAAATATATTTCTGCCAAATGTGTATCATTTGCACCACCGTAAAGCTGAGGAATCATTAACTTGAACCACTGAAAACTGGTACTTAATTTCAGCAAACAAAACCACACATTGCACAGTCCCTCTCCTGTGGGTGTGGGTGTTTGTTTCTCGGTGTTTATGTTATACTTAAATATTATAGTCTCTAGTGAAAATTTACAATACAGTTTGAGGAGGAATGAAGCAGAGAAAAGAGACAGGGAAGGTCGTCCCTCTCGATTTGTCACCTTAATGATATTACTTGCTAAGAATAACCCACTTGTCAGATCCCTTTGTCTGATTGTAAGAAGTGCTCATGTAAGACATGCAGTTTTGACTCTAACCCTGATGAGGTGTCTTGGATTCAGGACTTTGGTACGGATATGATGGCATTCCCTTTTGGGCTCAAGAGTTCAGCACTATAAATTGTTCCCAACACCTATGAGTTTGCCCCTTTTTAACCCCCAAAGAGAAAGCTTGTCTACAGTCCTGATTAGATACTGAGTGAAAAAGAGGCATTAGTGGAAAAGGCTGGTGAAAGCCAAATAATTGATAGTTTTGATGAGTGTACTGGATTATCATTGGGACAAACTGGATTGAAAGGTCTATATAAATTCTTTGTACTATATTTACAACCCCAGTAGATCTAAACTCTAGTTCGGAATACGAAGTTAACAAAAGAAATCAGAACTTAAACAACTGGCTGTGGTGGCACACACCTATTATCCCAGCACTGGAAAGACTAAAAGAGGAGAATCATAAGTTCAGGGCCAACCTGGGCTGCATAGCCTAACTCCATCTTAATCTACACCCCCTCCAAAAAAAACCTACTCCAGTTTAATAAAACAAAGCAAGGATGGACTGAAAGCCAGTGCTAGAGAAACAAAGTCTCCAGAGAGACATTTACTCAGTTTGATACCCAGATGTGTGATGGATAAGACTGAGCAATTCTGAGTGCTGCCCGTGACGAGGTAACAAGATGGAGACCTTTGCATCTAGCAGTGGCTTACAAATCAGAGCCTGCTTGCAATGTACGATAAAAAGGGAGTGTGCTTTCCTTCCTTGCAGAATAAGCCAGTGCATTTCCGAACTTCGTAGCTGGACTTCACAGAGATCCAGATGTCTGTAAATTCTTAGCTTGGGATTGTTGGAGGCTTAGGGTTCGAAACAGATTTCTCCCCTGTGGCATTCAGTTCTCTAAACCCGGAATCAAATTGTATTCGGAGCTTGCTGCCGTGCGAGCTAAAGAGCAGGTGTATCTGGACCTCATACAATGAGAAGGAAAATTTTCTTAAAAACAAACATTAGGCTGGGTGTATCCCTGTTAGGGAGTGCCTGTCTAGCATACAGGAAGCCTTTTGTTACATTGCCATAAGCCAGATGTGGTGGTACCTGCCATTAATCCCAGCACTTGGAAAACAGAGGCAGGAGAGTTAAAAGTTCAAGGTTATCCTTGCCAGCATAGAGAATCTGAGGCGAGCCTGGGATAAAATGAGACCCCATATCTCAGTTAGGGCTTCTATTGCTGCAATAAAACACTGTGACCAAAAGCAACTTGGGGAGGAAAGGGTTTATTTGGCTTATACTTACACATTGTTGTTCATCACCAAAGGAAGTCAGGACAGAAACTCAAGTAGGGCAGGAACCTAGAGGCAGGAGCAAATGCAGAGGCCATGGAGGAGAGCTGCTTACTGCCTTGTTCCTCATGGTTTGCACAATCTGCTTTCTTATAGAGCCTAGTACCATAATCCCAGGGGTGGCTCCACTCCGTGTGCTGGGCCCTTCCACATCAATCGCTAATTTAAGAAAATACCCTGTAGGATTACCTACAACTCACTCTTAGGGAGGCATTTTCTTAATTGAGGGTCCCTCCTCCCAGATGACTTTAGTTTGTGTCAAGTTGATATAAAACTAGCCAGGACACCCCTTTCCCCCCAGATATATGGGAGCCTAGCATGCACTTTATCACAGCTAGAGACAGAAGGATAAGTTCTAGGCCACTGTGGACTAAATAGTGAAACTGTCCGAGAAAACAGTAAGGACAACCTGCTGTGGGAGCTGCCATGGACTCTCACAGAATTGCAGTGTCCATTCCTTTCTGAAGCTCTTCAGAGATGCGCTCTTACATGTGCTTTACGTAGTTGCAGTCGGCATGCTCTCTCCGTCATCTTGTTTTCACTTACCATCATTTCACATTCTGATTTCCATCCCCGTGATGCACATAATTGTGTGCTTAATGGCTGTCTAACATTCAGTTGTGTAAAATAGCCTGCCAGTTCTTGGGGCTGGGCTTACTTTCCTGAGCAGACCCAAAGGCCTGTTGTCTCTTAGCAGTTGAGGCTTATTTTAGTTCCTGGAAGTGGCAACTGGCGTGAGCGTGGGATCCCGTGGCATTCTTGACTCACCAGCACACAGCTCAGTCTGCTTTGTTAACATTGCTCTGCCTACCACTCCACAGCAGAGCCTCCCCAGGCTGCCTGGACCTGAGCTGGACTCCTCCTGCGTGCAGAGGCAGGTGTATAATCCCCCAACTTCCACAAACCCTGACCCAGATCTAATACTAACATAACAACAGCAAGAAATATCCGCTGCTTCCTCCCTCACCTGGCATCACAGTGACACTGGTGTCCCCCACAGAGCATGAAGTGAGAGAAGTGTCTGAAGGAGCGAGGGACGGGTTCTTACAGCTGAAGGAATAAGATGAAGGTCAGGAATGCGATGACTAAAACCCTGGGTGCATTAGTGAAAATAGAATGGCTGAAGTTTGGGTTCCAAGTCCCAAAATGTTGAGTGATACCTTTCTTTCTTCAAACCTCTTCTTGGCACAAACCCCAATATTTGGTCTTCTGATGAAGATAAAGGGTGTATGAGATTGGGTAATAAAACAATAAATTGGGGTTTGACTCCTTATCTAGCTGTGGCCACTGTCATCTTCTGGACAAGGACACTAGTTGGCATGCAAGATTCTCCTGAGAGAAAGTGATATTTGGTACATCTCATTATTATGTCATTCTAGCAGCAACTGTGTTGAAAAGAAGTGATTGGTTATTTTGCCACAAATTATCAGTGCTTTTTCCTTGTTCTTTTTCATTTTTTTTTTTTCAGACAGGGGCTCATGTAGCCCGGGCTGGTATCGAACTTGCTCTGATCCTTACCTCCAGAGTGCTAGGATTATAAGCATACACAGTCATGCCCAGTTTCGTGTGGTGCTGGGGATCAAGGAACACATGCATAATTTGTGGGGATGAGAGTGTAGGAATTGGAAACCATTCAGAGCAAAGGGATGCCCGTACCTAACCTCAGTGAATTCTGTAGTCCCAAAGTGAAGATTTGTCTTGAAAGAACTAATAGATAAGTACCTAAGCTATGTGGTGTTTGAATTGCCAAGGCTAAGATTGCTTAAAGTATCTCTGACAGGATGTGACAGTTAATCATCATTGTCAACTTGACAGATTTAGAATCTCTATGGAAACGCCTCCAGATGTCTGTGAGGATGTTTCCACCGAAGGAAGATACCCTGGGTGTGTGCAGCAGCACCACAGTGGAGTGGGGTGGTCCTGGACTGAAAGGGGGAGGGGTGTGAGAGTGAACTGAGCGCCAGCATTTCTTTCTGCTTCCTGACTCTGAATGCAGTGTCGCCATTGCCATATGCTCTGTTGCCACAGCTAGGGCCACTCGAGATAATGTGCCTCTCTCTCCCTTCACAATGGACTTTATTTCCCCCTCAAACTGGGAAGTAAAATAAACATTTCCTCCAGCTCCTTTTGCTCAGGTATTTTGTCACAGCAAGGGAGAAAAGTAGCAAACACACTGAGTCTAGGCTCTAAAAGTCCTGGAGGAAGGCCAGGATGTTGATAAATAAGGAGGAACTCCAAGACAACCATTTGCCTTGAATAAAATTTGCACTCTTGATTCAGAAAAGCATTGTTTGCTTTGTGCTTGGGCTGCCCCGCTGATACACTCCTTTCAGATTCTCAAAGACGAGAATGTGGGAGGCAGTGATTGTAATGATCTGTCCGATCCATTACAGTGATGCTGATCACCATGGCTTCTTTAAGCTCGCTCACTCTTTATCCTTTTAGATCAAAGATACCTGCCTTTAGGTTGTTCCCTGTGAGAAAGGAAACAAATTCTAAAGCAAAGCCTTGAATGCTAATGATCTAGCCAAACTTGTCCCCTAAATAGTAGTAGCCAGCATTTAATGAGCTGCTTAAGGTGTGCTGGGCAGTGTGATAAACATTTTATATGGATTTCAAAGTGGCTTGGGAGAAGGGTTGTTGTTCTTTCTCTTTGTTCGGGCAGTTACTGTTATTTCTGACTCCACTGGAAGTTACCAAGTCATCTAGCTTGATAATGGGGTTTGGAGAATGTAGTAACAGCCTGTAGAAACAAAAATAAGCTCCACTCTAATACATCCGTGCATACATACATACACACATACATACATACACAGACACGTACATACATATATACCTACTGACACACACACACATGTACATATTCCTTGCTACTCTTTAAGACTTTTATGACTGATGAATTATTTCTAGAGGGCTAGTGGGAAAGGACCAGAATCAGCACAGAACACCTGAGACCAAGATCTCAGCACAAAGGAGATTTTTTTGCTGCAGAGGGACAAAGAACAGGGAATAAGAGACAAAGACAGGCCAAGGGAGGAGGGAAAAGAAACAAGGGGGGTGGAAAAGGGATATTTGCCCTGGAGGGACAAAGGCCTGTGTCTGGATTGAGAGGAGGCAGATGTGACCCACAGGCAAATGACAGTTTATAAAGGAAAAAGGGAGTTCCCTCCCTTTAGGATGAGTTGGTTTGTTTTAATTGGGCATGTTAATTAGGGTAGCCAAAAGGGGGCTTTTGATTGTTGAACTTCAGTACTTTGATAGCTGGACCTTGATGGTCAGCTTCAGGAGGAGGAAGAAGGCAAATAAGGGAATAGACCTTGGTGGTTAGCTTCAGGGATCTTATCTATGGTTTAGCAAGTAGGAGGGGAGGGGAAGGGCAAGGTCTACCATGGCCGTGCTTGCTGTGCTCTGGCCTGCTAGAGCCCTTCACAGTGAGATGGCTCAGCAGGTAAAAGCATTTGGCTGCTAAGCTTGGCCGCTTGAATTTAGTCTCCAGAATCCACATAGTTAAAGTAGGGAACTGACTTCTGCAAGTGACTTCCACATACATTTACAAAAGGAAAGAAATATAAAAACAAACAAATAAATAAAGGAAAAGTCTATTGCAAAAAAAATTGCTCAACAAAACCTGCGTGAAATGGTATGAGCCTGTAACCCCAGTATGAAAGATAAATACACCATACTCACACATACAAGTGTGTGTATCAGGGGTGTTCATACACACTGATGCCAGAAGGTGTCTGGAGACCTGTTCTATATTACTCTTGAGACTGTCTCTCACTGAAGCTGCAAGCGACTGTCAAGTCTCAGCAGTCCATCTGTCAGCTCCTATTAGTTCAGGGATTGCAGGTGCATGCATGGTCATGGCCTGCTTTTTTTCAAAAGGGGTACTGGGACCTAAACTCAGGTCTCCATGCTTACCCATTAAATACTCTTTTTTATTTTAAATGTTTTATTTATTTTCCATACCAACCACAGTTCCCCGTCCCTGCCCTCCTCCTGCTACTCCTACCTCTCCCCCCACCCTATCCCCCATCCACTCTTCAGAAAGGATAAGGCCTCCCATGGTGAGTCAACAAAATCTGACACATCACTTTGAGGCAGTGCCAAGTACACCCTCCCCTCCCCGCATCAAGGGTGAGCAAGGCATCTCACCATAGGAAATGAGCTCCAAAGAGCAAACTCATGTATTAGGGATAGATAGTTCTAGTCCCACCGCCAGGGACCCCACAAACAGAACAAGCCTTACAACTGTCACCCACATGCCTAGTTCGGTCCTATGCAGGCTCCCCAGCTGCCGGTCCAGAGTCTGTGAGGTCCCTAAAGCTTGGGTCAGCTGATTCTGTGGGTTTCCCAATTGTGATCTTGCCCCCCCCCCCTTGTTCAAATAATGCCTTCTCCCTCTGTTTGACTGGACTTTCAGATCTCAGCTCAGTGCTTGGCTGTGGATCCGTTTCCATCAGTTACTGGATGAAGGTTCTATGGTGACAGCTAAGGTAGTCACAAATCTGGTTACAGGAGAAGGTCAGTTTAGGCATCTTCTCCACTATTGCTAGGAGTTTTAGCTGGGATCATCCTTGTGGATTCTTGGGAATTTCCCTAGCACCAGGTTTCTCCCTAACCCTCAAATGGCTCCCTCTTTCATTGTTCTCCCTCTCTGTCTCTCCCACAGTGCAACCATCACGTTCCCTCATGCTTTCATCCCCCCCCCCCCCCAGTTTATCCAGGAGATCATATCTATTTCCCTTTCCCAGAGGGATCCATGCATGTCTCTCTTAGGGCCCTCCTTGGTACCAAGCTTCTCTGGGGTTGTAGATTGTAGTCTGGTTATCCTTTGTTATGCACCTAATATCCACTTATGATTTGAGTGAGTACAAACTGTGTTTGTCTTTCTGGGTCTGTGTTACTTCAGTTGGGATAATTTTTTTTCTAGTTCCATCCATTTGCCTGCCAATTTCATGAAGTCAATTTTTGTTTTTACAGTTAAGTAATACTCCATTGTATATATACCCCATTTTTAAAAATCCATTCTTTGGTTGAGGGGCATCTATGTTGTTTCCGGGTTCTTGCTATTAGGAATAAAGCTGCTATGAACATAGTCACCACTGAGTCATCTTTATAAACCCTGTGAGCTTGGACTTTAATTAAAAAAAATTGGTTCTACTAGACAGACAGTGGTGGCACACACCTTTAATTCCAGCACTTGGGAGGTAGAGGCAGGCAGATCTCTGAGTTCAAGGCCAGCCTGGTCTACAGACTGAGTTCCAGGATGGCCAGGGCTGTACAGAGAAACCCTGTCTTGAAAAACAAGCAAACTTTCTCAAGAGTGGTATTGCTGGGTCTTGAGGTAGATTGATTCTCAATTTTCTGAAATACCGCCATACTGATTTCCAAAGTGGCTGTACAAGTTTACATTCCCACCAGCAATGGAGGGGTATTTTACTTACTCCATATTCTCTCCAGGATAAGCTGTCATTGGAGTTTTTGATTTTGGTCATTCTGACAGGTGTAAGATTATGTATCTTAGAGTTGTTTTGATTTGCATTTCTCTGATGACTAAGGATGCTGAGCATTTCCTTAAGTGTCTTTTGGCCATTTGAGATTCCTCTGTTGAGAGTTCTCTGTTTAGATCTGTACCTACTTTTTATTGGATTATTTAGTGTTTTGTCTAGTTTCTTGAGTTATTTGTATAGTTTGGTGATCAGACCTCTGTCTGATGGGGGGGTTAGTGAAGATTTTGTCCTATTTAGTAGGCTGCCTTTTTGTCTTATTGACTGTGTCCTTTGCTTTACAGAATCTTTTCAGTTTTAGGAGGTCCCATTTATTTATTATTGCTCTCAGTGTCTGTGCTACTGGAGTTATGTTTAGGAAGTGGTCTCCTGTGCCCATGCATTGAAGGCTACTTCCCACTTCTCTTCTATGAGGATGCACGGTCACACCACAAGGACATTTGCTCAACTCTGTTCATAGCAGCATTACATAATGGAGTACTACCCAGCGGTAAAAAACAATGACATCTTGAAACTTTCAGGCAACTAGATGGAACTAGAAAAAGCCATCCTGAATGAGGTAACCCAGATCCAGAAAGACAAATATAATATGTACTCACTCATAAGTGACTTTTAGACAAAAAGCCAAGGACAACCAGCCTACAGGCCACAACCCCAGAGAACCTGGACAAACAAGAGGACACTAAGAGAGACATACATGGATCCACCTAGGAAAGGAAAAAAAACAAGATCTCCTGAGTAAATTGGGACCATAATGGGTAGGAGGGAAGGTGGAAGGGGAGAGGGGAGGAGGGAAGGGAAGTGGGAAAATGTGTAGCAATAAGAAAGGAAAAACAAACAAACAAACAAAAAACAACCAAAACTGGTTTTGCTACCGCCTAGTGGGTACCCAGGGACAAATTATCTAAGCTCTCTGAATATCAGTTTCTGCTTGTGTGAGATGAAGATGAAAGGCAGTAATATATGTAAAGCAGTTAGCCTAGCAGCTGACAAAGCGGAAGTGCTCCATCAACTATGCCTGCTAGCACTGCTGGTGCACTTATGGCTGTTAACGGAATTCTCCTCACATAGGCATGGATGCACTTCTGCATAATTTCCTGGCTATAGCTTTGTCTTTCTAGAGGGAGTTGGAGAGAGGCATGTGTGGATCTTTTTAGCCCCAAGGTAGCTTTAGCTAGGCAGATTTGGATTCCATTCCTTGCTCTGCTGTGTACCGTATCCTCATTTGGGAAGTGATGCCAGGTATAATACCTGCCCAGGGAGGTTGCCAATATGACAATAGATAGGAAGGACTTAACACTGTGCCAGGTATCTGGAAAGCACCTGATCCGTGGGGCTCATGATGAAGGTGATAACAATAATAGTAAGGGACCAGTACCATCCCAACCTCACCACACTGGGAGTGTGGATCCACACACATGTTAAGAGGCAGCAGTTGCTGTTCCTGAAAGGCTAGCAAAGCAATGTGGCTTCCCAGACAGTAGCTAGGTATTTAAAACAGACCTAGTTTTGGATATGTAACAAAAACAAACAAACAAACAAAAAACCCAAAAACCCGATTGATTAGAGCACCATTCTTATTTATTTTGCCAGTCCCTTTATACCTGAGAACCTTAAAGGAAAATGTGTGATTCTAAAGTAACCCTGTTCTTCTAAGGCTCAATTTCAGTTGTTCACAACATCTTATCTGTAAGCTTTGTCAGGAATATCTTAGTACATGGCTCTGCTGTTCTTTGGTGAGGTGGACGACACATAACTTCCTGAGCCTCCCGATGAGTATAGGATGAATTGGCTGGCTACTGCACTGGTGTGGAAAAACAATGGTTCTCAAGGACGTGATCTTAGAATAGGTGAACTTGTAGGTGGGCTGGAGAGGCATTATCGAATAAAAGTCAAAGGCGTGTGTTCCTGCTGGTTCTGGAGGTATGCCCATTTACTGAAAGGTGATAGAGGGAATGATTCTTTTGCTATCCCTCTGTTTCCTCTTTAGTAGTCTGTTAAGTCTAATCAGGAGAAGAAAACAGCTAGTTTTGCAAGTAAAGCCAAGTATAAGGTTTCTATTCTTTCCCACACTACTTGGGGTAGGAGGGTGCTGGCCAGTTTCCAAGGCACCCTACAGGACACCCACCCTCCACCCCAGCCTCCAACATTCTTTGTCACTTTATTAAGGAATACTAACTGCTGGAACGGAAGGCTTCGCCACGGGGATCTTCCAGTAACATTTCTTCAGTGTCCCAGGTATCTATTCTCTTTTTTGGCCTACGAGCTAAGGTTATAGAAATGAAAATGAGTTTTGGATAAAGATTTCAGGATAGTTGCTGACCTCTAGAAAGACACACACTATTTGCTACTAGATTCCTTCTACCGAGCTTTCATCCTCACCCCTTATCCCCAGAACTGTGCCCATTTTCTCCTTAGTGAACGTCCCTGAATAATGCATAACAAACAGTTCAGCCTGAGGTGACATGATCATTGTCAGTTGACAGTCAATATATGTCAAGTGCTGGAAGATTTTCCATGTTAGGAAATGGAGGTCATCACTAGCATTTAAATATTTTGTGTATAGTGTATGTGTATGTGTGTTTGTGTTCATGTGAATGAGGAGGCCAGAGCTTGACTCTTCAGGGTTCTTTCTTTTGGAGACAGAGTCTCTCACGGAACTTAGATCTCACTGATTGGCTAGGGTAGGTAGCCAATGAGCTCCAGATGCTCCTTTCCCTACTGCCCACCCCAGGCTAGGGTCACAGGTGTATACCAACAAGCCCAGCTTTGTTCTGGGTACAGGAGATTCAAACTCAGTTCTTCTTGCTGGCATGGAAGGCACAGGAAACACCGAGTCATCTCCCCAGTGACCCATCAGTAGCAATGTTCATGTCTCCACAGTGTGGATGCATCTTAATTTAGTTAGCTATCCCTGTCATTGGGCATTTACATTGTTTCCAACATTTAGCTCTTGTACTGGATGATATAATTGGAATATTATTTAGTATACTTTTTGTGTACTTCTGTAATTAGCTTTGTAGACAGCTAAGAAATGAGACTAGTAGTTTAAATGGTTACCATAGTTTAAGTTCTTTTTAAACATATTTATTTTATTTTATTGTGTATGAGTCTTTGGCCTGCATATATATCTGTGCATCACATTTATGCCTGTGAAGGTTCTTAATAATATTGAGAAAAGGAGGGAGAGAGAGAGAAAGGTAATATACCCTACATAAAGGTTACGCCAATTTGCGCTTCCACTATTGGCACGCATAACCTTTAAGTTATTGCTATGGCCATCCAAAGATCTTGTGTCAGCTAATGCTGGGCTACCATGCTGGCCTATCAGAAGATGGTCTCAAAGCTTTGTCCCATACTTCTCTCTATAACACACCGTAGTATGAAAAGTGAGTTTCATTCTCAAAATAGGAATGCTATTGTAGAAAATATAAAGGATGGCCTATATAACTTTTCTTTTATAGCCAACGATTCAACATTACCTTTGAAAAGTTTGTTGTCAATAGATGGAGCTGCAGTCTGTGTCTCATAACATTGGTTGTTGCAAGGTTTGGCGATACTCTGAGTTCCAATCTTCCGAGAACATTCACCTTCCTCCATGATTACGTCCAAAGCAAATGTTACTGACATATTCTTTTTGGGCCTCATTCGCAGACCATCTTTCTGTATGCCAAGAAGAAGAGGGAAATCGTCAAGTAGTCCTCAAGAGTTCAATTACAGACCATGGGCAATAGCATTTCAAAAAGCCATTTACCTGTAGGATTGGCTTTAGGGGCCTAGCATCCAGTGAGCGCTGTATTAAATGTTGTCTTGATTCAAAATGCTGCCTTTTCTCAAAGTGTCTTTGTTCAATATGCTGTCTATGTTCCAGGTGTTGTCTTTTCTGAACGCGCTGTCTGTTGTCTTTGAGCATTCCCCCTCTGTTAGCTATGCTAAATTTGAAAGAACAAGTCAGTAGACGAAAGAGACATATTTCAAGACTTTTCCTCTTGTTTTTGGTGCTGGGGCCTGCATTTAGACCATCCATGAATGTGGCAAATGCTCTACACTGAACTGTCCCTGCCTTCAAGCTCTTCAGCCAATGCAGCTGTCGTCCTATCCTTTCCCTATGCCTTTGGGCAGTGAAAATAACAACAGAGCAAGAGGACATTTCAGCCGTACAGTCCTCAAAAGCCTGAGCGTGCGCTAGGTATCTTTTCAACACTCCTGTTCTTTCTATCGTTCCGTGGTTAGGCAGATCAGAGAACTGGAGGCTGAGAATTCAGAGCAGCTGTGTAATATTCATCTGTAGAATATTGTCAATAGGCTCCTTAAGGGGCACATGTTCCCTCTTGTCTTCCACATGGCAACTCAGGGAACAGATGTCCTCTTTTGGAGAAGCCCTAATGCTGATAGGTTGGCCTTACTTTTTTTTTTTAAACCTCTATGCCACTCATCCCACTAAAGTGACTGCTGAAGCTGTTCCAGGGCAGGTAGTATACCCAGCAATGTTGATGGGCACTGCCATAGCCCCACTTGGGCCATCAGATTCTCCAGGGCTTGTTGCCCAGAATTCAAGTACCTCTCAGAACTCATGGGTCATGTTGAAGATTGGCTTCCACTTGTATGGTCAGTAAACCAAAAGAAAGCAGCTCAGTACCTGTCCGATGAGCATCTCTCTCCACAGCCTCTGAAGTTCTTGGAGGTTGAGATGCTCTTACCAGATGTTTGTTGTCGAGTACACAGCTCATCATATTGATCCCCAATAGCAGCTAACAGCCAGCGCAGGCCTATAATTATCGGCTGTTGGTTCCTCTTTGGGAGGTTTTTCATAGTTGAACATGGCTCCTATACACAAGAGAAAAGAAGGCCTCAGATCTGGATCCCTGGACCTTTAGGGTCTAAAGGCCTGATCACTGTCATCTCAATGTCAGAGGTAGATGGCTGTGCCTAAACAGGTTCTCAGCTTCCAAGGAAACACCCAGCATTCACATCTGAGAGAGTACGTGAAGAGCATAAAAGCTGAGGCCCTTTAATACAATGGCTATAGTGCCTTCATTGTGTGACCTCAGGCAAGTCACTGAGACCGTCAGGTCATTTAGCTTTCTCACGTATAAAATGGGGATATTAAAAACTTACAGAACTGCTTTGAAGGCAGAGTGTAATATGTGTTGTCATTATCAAGGTAGAAATAATCACAACAGATGTTGCCTGTCAGGGAAAGGAACTTTGCCTCCAAGCCAACATTTGGGGCTGATGACAGACAGGGCCCTGGTTATATTAGCCAGGGCTAGAGGAAGAGAAGGAAATGCTGCCACTCACCACACGGCACATGGACTTAGTCTCATTCACTAGCCTTTCCAGAAGTAGATATTCGATGATATCGCAAGGCAAGAGGGCTTCCTTCTTGTCTTGTTTGTTTGCCAGGCTAGAGCAGGGCATATGAAAGAGCAGAAAAGATGAGAAGAGTGGAGCCAAGATGAAGTCAAAGGGAAGGGAAAAGCCCTGCATGGTGGCACACACCTTTAGTCCTGGCACTTGGGAGCCAGAGGCAAGCGAATCTCTGAGTTCAGGCCAGCCTGGTCTACACAGCAATACCGTATCTCAAAAACAACAGAAAACAAACCACAAAAAAAAAAAAAAACAAAAAAAGGGGTAGGGGAACTGCCACGTGTTCAGGAATTGGGCCTAAATGTATGCCCAGTGAGATTGGCTAGACAGTGGAGGAAAAAAAATAGTGCAAATTATTTGAATCCAAGATAATCCCCAGAGCTTATTTCCCACTTCCGCTGTATCATGCCTGGAACTTTAATTACGGTCGCTAATTGGGATATGAACAGGTGTGGAGTTTTGCATCTCTGAAACTCTTCATACTCCAGTTGGGTTGCTAATGAGGGATGAGACTGGCAAAAAGGGAATTGGAAGGGGTGAGGCGTGACAGGTTACTGGAGGTCTGCCTCTGAAACGAGTGCCAGTTATATAAGTCTTGAGCCACCAACTGAGGGAGGAAGGCATAGGAACTTACATTATACAAAAAGGGCGGGGGGTTGCTCACTGCCATCATCAAGTTTCGGGACCAGAGACTCAAACCAGAAAAGAGCAAATCCAGGAAGAGTGTTCAACAGAGTCAGGCTTGGGGATGGGAGATCTCGATGGTATTTCTCTTTGATGAAGAGACAGGGTTCGTTTGTATAGTTAGCTGTAGTGTCTCGCATGGCAGTGGGGAGTAGAAAGTGGCTCTTGAAAACAGTGACCAGTGAAGTAGGCCTTTCTGCCTTATTGAGCCTAAAGGGGTCTAGCTCCCTGTGACCAAAGGAGTACCCAGCCTTTAACCTCTATACCTTTCCCAAGGCATAAATTGGCAAAGGGAAGTAGACCACAAAGACAGAAACTTACATTAAGATGGGCTTCCCTGCTACCCTTTTATCAAACATCAGGCGTGTTAAGATGATCTTCACTTCCTGTATGCGTGCTGTGTCACTAGAATCGAGGACGAAAACAAGCCCGTGTGCCTCAGCATAGTAGCTCGGCCATTTCTCTCGGCCTTTTTGGTCTCCATTGAGGTCATAGAGAGATACTTGATAATCATCTAGTAGAAGTCTAATCTGTGTTGGCTTCGTATTGCTGTGCATCTTGCTAGGAATTACTACAAACAGAAAGAGGGGAGAAGCAACCACAGTGTGGCAAAAGGTAGTTAGATAAGATTGTTCATCCTCCTGCAGAGCCTGCCCCCAGAATCCTTACTGAAGTGGCCTGCCACCCCGCTCAGATTCATGGATGCATCGTTCTAGTTCTTGGTTGTTGCTGCTGCTATTGTTTTGTTGGTTGGTTTTATTTTAGACAGAGTCTCACTATGTAGCCCTGATTAACCTGGAACTCACTCTGTAGACCAGGCTGGCCTCCAACTCACAGATACCCACCTGTCTCTGCCTTCTAGAGGGCTGAATTAGAGGTGTGCGTCACCATGCCCAGGAAAATGCATCTTTCTAAATCACTTTTCCTATGTCCAACTTCCTGGCTGTACTATGTCAGTGAATAAATTGAATGGTGGCCACAGTGGACCTGGTTCCTATCCAGGTCTCCTCACCCTCCATGTCTCTCTTTTCCTGGGCCTTCACAAACTGCCATTCTCTCTACCATCCTGTGGTTGGTTCATGCCCATTTTTATAAAACTATCCATTTAGATCATTTTTATTGTAGGAAATTTCCCTTACACCAGCCTTGTAAAATGCTTCTACCCCTGTGTTTAGCATTACTACAACACATATTAGAGTCATAAATTCTATTGTCTACTTAGCTGAGTTCTAAACTGCCAAAGGAAGGTGAACTCTTAATTTTATCCATTATATCCATTATATTCATGAAGCACAGATTCTAGCACACAGAAACTCAATGGGTGTCATGAATGAATGCTAGCTCTTTCTCTTTGTATTTCCCATGTGTATGTTTGTATGAGCACGTTGGATTTCCTAGAACTGGCGTTACAAACAGTTGTGAGCCACCACGTGGGTGCTGGGAGTTAAACTCAGGTCCTCTGGAACAGCAACCAGTGCTCTTAACCTCTGAGCCATCTCTTCAGACCTAGTTGTTTCTCTTTTACCGTTTCTTTCAGGCCCAGCCACCACATTCTTCAGGGAGCCTTCTCTGGCCTGCCAACCTCTCAACAGTTCTTTTCAGCACTTCGCTGAAGTAGTCATTGACCTATTTTTGTGCTTGCCCATTGCCTTAGAGTAGGGATTCAGTAAGTGCTTACACTGTCTATTATTATGAATGAGGACATGAAGTGTCTCTTGTGTGTGTCTTCCAAGAAACCCTGCCAGATTTGGGCACATTTCCCATGGAAAAGCTTTGTCCAGAACATAATATCTTGTAAGGAACTAGCTACTTCGTTCAGCCTCTAAAAGAAATGCATTTTATAACGATGGTCATTCTATGCTTTGCAGTTTGTTGAACTGATAGTTATGGTCTAAGTTTCTGCTCACATTAATAGTTAATAATTTCATAGATTTTTGATACTAGGAGTACTCATACTAGAATCAGTAATTTCTTATTTGTAGTAGAAGATATGTCTGTGACATTTTCCATAGGACAGCCAAACTAAATCCTTAGACTGACTAATTCTTTCAGATTTTTGGAAATGCTTGTTTATATACACTTATGAGTAGACATATATGTATATAATATGCCAACTATACTTTAATGTGGTTTTATAACATTTCTTCTGTTTTCATGATACAGCTATTTAATTATGATTTTCAGAGTGCACATACATTTCAATCACAACTTTGATATGATACTTGCTATAGAAATTACACTACTTGAAAACATATACATGCAAGTAGCACTATACAGACTGAGCAGGTTGAATTTATGTATTTAGGAATATATACGTATGATATATACATATTCACATGTGTATATAATAACAATTAATAAAAAAAGGCCATGTATTTGAAAGAGAGCAAAGAAGGGTATATGACAGGATTTGGAGGGAGGAAAATGAGGGGGAAATGATGTAATTATATTATAACTTCAAAGAATAAAGAAAGTAAAAAGAAGAGGCAAATAGGTGAAGATTCCAAAAGATAATTTTAAAATCTTGTTTTCTGTGTCTCAGAAAGCCTTGGTATTTTTTGTGACAGAACATAGTTATTCCTCTGGGTTTGTTTGTTTCTTTTTCTTCTTTCTACTCAAAACTAATTTCTGCAATAATTCGGTTTGTTGCTGATGACACTAGGTGCTAAACACTACAAGAAGTGGTTCCTTGTAAATTTGAATTTATCTGACTTTCTCTTCATTTATAAATACCCTGAGGGCAAGTCCCAACTCTCATTCATCTCTCTATTCCTGGCTGAGTGTTTCATGAAGTATGGTTTGGGAGTGTGCTTCAGAGTTTTATGGATGTACCCCAACCCTGCACCGGATGACTCAGATCTCAGGATCTCTTAGCTTGGGATGGAAGCATCTGTACTTTCTGTGATAAAGTGGCTCTGGTTAGCATGGTTATGATGTGATTCTTCTGCACTTTAAAGTTTGCGAGGCACTGCTCCTGAGAGTGAAGGAACCTGGGTGTGGTTGTGTCTCAGCATCACCTGATGAGAATGAGGAGCATGGGCCATCACTAAACTGAAATACGGGAGCTTCCTGATGCTGGGTTAAGTGGCTTCTAGGCTTCCCAGGTGACTTTGATCACTACCTCATTGTTCTCTAACTTTGCCTTCCCAGGCTTTTAAAAACCTGTGGTGCTAGTCCTCATTCTCTGAGATTTGGATTACATAGGGGTGGTACTCATGCATTATGCTCTTTTGAAAGCACACAGGTTGGGCCTGGAGAAATGGTTCAGCAGTTAAAGAGTACTTGCTGTTCTTCTAGATGGATTTGGTAGCTCAAACCTGTCTGTAGTTTCAGTCCCAGGGTATCTAATCCTTTCTTCTGGCCTCTGTGGCCACTACATACCATGTTCATGGTACACATACATACATGCAGGGAAAACACTCATACATATAAAATAAATAATTTTTAAAAAGTATCCAGGTGATCCAAATGAATGTATGTCAGATTTGCCATACATTCACAGATCTCAATATTCTTACATTGTGGAATATTATTTTAAGATGTGTTACAATTGTTTGTGTGGTGGAACATTTGTTTTAATGATGCAAAGTTGTGCTGCATTCTTTTTTGTTGCATTTGTGTGACTCTGTGAAACTGTGTTACTTTGCATGTCTAAAACAACTGAGTGGTCTAATGAAGAGTTGAACCTCTGATAGCTGGGCAGAGAAAGAATAGGCAGGGCTGGGCAGGTAGAGAGAATAAATAGAAGGAGAAAGCTGGGAAGAGAAAGGGAGGAGTGAGAAAATAAGGGGTCAGCCACACAGCCAGATATGGAGTAAGAAGGAAAGAAAAGATGTACAGAAATAGAGAAAGGTAAAAGCCCAGAGGCAAAAGGTAGATGGGCTAATTTAAGAAAAGCTGGCTAGAAATAAGCCAAGCTAAGGCTGGGCATTCATAAGTAAGAATAAGCCTCTGTGTGATTTGTTTAGGAGCTGGATGGCAGGTCCCCCAAAGAGCCAAAGTGTAAAAAGAGTAAATACAACCAACAGCATTCTTATTTAGGGCGCCTGTCTGTGCTCATCCTTGAGTTTCTTATCCCATGTGACCATGCCATGCAAAACAAGTGTGATGCCATGCAAATCAGTAGTGATGGCAGGTATGCCAAACTGGTTTGTAGCTGGTGTCTTTAAACGTCCATATAGGTTACTATATGTAGGCTGGAATTCCTTTCCTAGACAATTATCTGTTTGTGGCATTTACCTTTGAAAAACACAGGAACAGGGCTGGAGAGATGGCTCAGAGGTTAAGAGCACTGGCTGTTCTTCCAGAGGTTCTGAGTTCAATTCCCAGCAACCACATGGTGGCTGACAACCATCTGTACTGAGATCTGGCGCCCTCCTCTGGCGTGTGGGCATACATCGAGGCAGAATGTTGTATACACAATAAATAAATAAATCTTTAAAAAAAAAAAAAAGAAAAACACAGGAACAGGAGAATTGAGCTATTCAATTTTGGATACAGAGAAATCTACAAGATTGACTTTAAGTGGCCCTGCATGAATGGAGCTGCCCTGAGACATTCTTCAGAATGTGATGATATCAGTGCCTATTAGAATGTTTCAGTGAATTAAGTCACTACCATAAACCAATGCATTCATGAGCCAGTCCCAAGGTATTCACTGAGCACAAGACAAGTTATGCAGTAACAAACTCCATCCACTGTGCTCCAAGAATCAGAATGGAACACAGACACTTGTCTCAGATAAATAGCTTGTGGTTCATTTCAGAGGAGTGCTTCCCACAGCTGGAAACACCTGGAGAGTTCTCATGTTGTGGGTTCCCAGGCCCCACCTGGACTGAATAGGAGTCTGGGGCCCAGGCAACTGTAACTCTAGTAAACTATCCCCCATCTTGTCAGTAAACTTGTGACTTGTCTTGCCTGGTTCTTTGACTTTCCTGCCACTCTTTACTTTTGATCGTTTTTGCCTATCAGTATTGGGAGATACAAGGAGTCAAGCGTGCTGCAAATAAGGGTGGGCATGCTAGGCTGAAGTGTTGCTCAAAATGCACTTGGAGGTTCTTGGGGCTGAGGGAGAAAGAAGTTCTGAAAAGGCAATGTGTAGTCTCAGGGGAATGGTGGAGACCGTTCATTCCAGGAGGAATTGTTGAAGATGCTGACGGCAGAGACTCAGTGAGGAAAAGACCCATTTCTTCTCCTCATGGGGCTCCCGAGTTAGTAGTGGATTGGGAATTCTGCAAGGACCTTGGGATAAGCGCATGCTTGAGGGTGTGAGCAAGGGGTGGGTGCAGGGGGCAAAGGAGGGCTTTCCTGTGGCCAGGTCGTGAGTGGAGGGGCCTGCTTAAGAAGGTGACAGAGGAGCATACATGCAGGAGTGGAGCCGTGGGAAGCCCAGTGGTGTGGCCGAGGAAAACAGAGCTTTTGCTTTGGTTGTCTCAGAGGACTCTTTGTGAAGAACGTGGGAAATGAAGCCGGAGGAGGAGTCAGAAGCACAAACAGGACCTTGTGTTCTACAATGGGGCAACGTGGAACAACCCTGAGCAGGGGCGTGTCATGATTAGATCTGTGCACCTCTCTGATAATTAGAAGAAGGAGCAGACATAAACAAGTCAGCCAGAGTTTACTGGCTTTGAAGGGAACTGAAGAAATGCCAAGTAGACCGTGGGCACAGGTGTCAAGGTAACCATTTCCTATACTCTGCGGAGGGTTGCCAGGTTCTATCAAAGCCAGCCATGTCAACACACTCCTATATTGAGTCAGTAAACCTTGCTGATGGGCCAGACTCTGATTGTTTAGCAGGTAGAGGTAGCTGGGGCTTCATGAGTACAGCAGCTTCCTGCAATGCTATGTGAGTGCCCTTGGGAACCTGCTCTAGTCAAGGGACTGGAGATTGCTGTTACACTTGAACGGACAACAAGTCTCGAGCTCTAACTTTCAACAACAGCTGTCGCGGAGTTTTGTGTTACTACATTTCGTCATTACTTGTCTCTTATCTAGACCAAATTACACAGGAATTCAGCTCCGAAACTAGACAGCATTTCAAATACACTGTGCTTCAAAATTGTTGACAATGTTTTGTGTAGCTAAAGCTCATTCATTTGACATCACATGACGACTTCCGATGAGGGCATCTTATAAAGGGAGCAGGTGACAGGCACTCTGGAAATAGCCTGTTAACACCTAATGAGGAGACGGAGCTATTTATTTTTACAAGAGAGAAACTGAGGGCCAGGAAGTAAGGCTAAAGTGGAATGAATATTTCTGGCAGACCCACACCAGAAACTAATGTTCTTCATTCTTACATCTTTGAAGGGCCTCCACAAGATGAGTTTTGCCTGAGTTGTCCAAGCCAATGACAATGATAGTCACATTCCTGGAAGAGGACAAGAAAAATTAGTCAAAGCCACGAACCTCTTGATGCTTACCCTGAAGAATTCTATTTGTTTTGAAGTGTTTCTCAGTGTATCATAAGAAGCCCTACCACAGTGGCTGGAGGGGTGTGGCCACCCCTCCCAAATCCTCCAGAGATGCTTTCCCTCCCTGGCACCTTCTGTTTATAGAATGGTCATCCTCTCTCAGCTCTGTTCCAAGTCCTGCACTCGCTGTCTAGTTACTTTCCAAATGGGTCACGGTCATTTGTCCCTTGTGAAACTTTAGGCAGATACGTGGGAAGTAATTCCAAAGTGGGTGTAGAAAAGTAGCTGTAAAGTTACCTTTGCTTTGGTTCTGTGGCCTTTTGTCGAGACCAGCAGGCACTCAGAAGTCGGAACATGATTCAGCTTGGATCTTAAATATTAAAGGACAAAAATAAATGACAAATCACATCAATTGTGGATTAGGTCAGTTTGTCTGTCTGGTAAACAGAAAATCTGTGACTGTTAGAATTCCATTGCATCATCCAACCCAGCCTAACTTGTAAATGCCATGGAGGAGAGACTGGCTATCCCAAGCTCCAATGAGAACATCGTGGTAATATGTAGCTTCCTACAAAATACAGTGACTTGTCACTAAAGCAACCAAACACACAGATGCAATCAGATGGACCCTATCCCTTTAGCTATGGCTTGTTACTACTAGGAATGTCTTTATTCAGTCTTGGGCAAAGGTGTGGTGATGCATTGGAGAAAAACCAGCTTAGTTTAAAGAACCATTGGAAGACCTGTTGTAAGCAGCTTGTCTATTGGGCTTGGCTCTGTTATTGCCTTAGCTTCAAAGGTAGAGGTGTTGGTAACCCATTTTTCATAGGTTTCATCCAGTTCCTAGGATCTGTAAGGGGCCTCAGACATCACCTAGAGAAGACTAATAGATATTAAACAGCAATCCAGGTACCTCACTGTCAAAGATTCCAGGGGAGTTAAATATGTTTCTCAAGTGAGTTTAGCATGCAGGCTGATTAAGAAGTGATTGCCTAAGTAAAAGTTAATTTAGGTAGCTGCTTCACAGTTCCATGTTGTAGCATGTATGAATACTTAAAGTTTTTGAGATAGGTCTCACTTCATATCTCTGGTTGACCTGGAACTTGCTACATATATCAGGATAGCCTTGAACTCACAGAGATCAGCCGGCCTATGCCTATGCTTGGATTAAAGGCATGCACCACAGGCCCTGGCTTCATTTCTTTTTATGGCTGAAAAATTGCAGGTCTGTCACATTTTAGGCATTCACTCGTCTGCTGATGGACATTTGGATTGTTGCTACTTATCAGCTTATAGGTAACACTGCAATAAACGCGCACATGGGAGTATAAATGTATGGGTATGTGTTCATTTCTTTTGGGCATATTCCTAGGAGTAATTTCTGTATTATACACTGCATCTGTGTTGAAGCATTCAGAGAAACTGCTGGATTGTTTTGCAAGGTGGCCGTAACATTTCACACTGACACCAGGAAATGCTAGAGAGTTCTATTTCCGCCACATGTGCAACAAAGCTTATTGCTGCCTTGGCGTTTGTAGCTATTCTAGCACGCATGAAGTGAGATCTCGTTATGAGTTTGACTTACATTTCTCTAATAGTTCATTTTGTCGATGCCCAGCATTGTAGGAAGAACCAGTGGGGTTACGGAAAGATGTCATTTTGTACCTATACAGGCCTTGCCCGGCTGTTTGTATGCCAGGTACTAATGGGTGATTAGCATTGTTCTGCACAGTCAGCCAGTCATCTATCCCCTGTTTTGGAGCATTGTTATTTTCAGAGACTCACATTTTGTAGCTTACCTTAGAGCACAGCTCACTGTTTAGAAAATTGGCTTCTCTAAAGATCTACTGGAGAATGCCTTGCATCAGATAGAACCAAAACCCATATATATGGCCTGTGATCAAAACCAACCTTACTCTAGTTTGGCTCGTGAAGCTAATAAGACCTAGAGCCTGAAAGGAAAGAGCCCAGCTGTCTTGATTCTGTGATGGCTGTGTCCCTTTGAGACAAGGTTGGAAATATATTCATGTCAATTTCTTTTTTAGTACATTTATTAGTGTATATTAATTGTACAAAATAGTGAATTCATCAGTATACGTTAGAATATGTAAATAACATACTTTGATTATCCTCACCCACCATGACCCTTCCATCTCTTCCCCTCACCTTTCCCATTAGTATCCCCTCTACTTTTGTGTAATCAAACGATCTAGATGTTATTCATATATCTTAAGTAGTTACAGAGCTTCTTGGCTTTGATCTTAGTCACTGTTTCTCCAAACTGGCACCGTACAAGTTCTTCCTTTCAGAGGTAAGAAGGGTAATACCTAACCTAATACACAGACTCTGTGTGTATTAGGGATGACCACAATTCAAATGTAGGCAGTCTGCTTTCACAGTATTGAATCCAACAGGCTGTGTGTGAGAGACCTGAGCTATCAGACGATTATGGATACTGTTATGTCCAGTGTCTCTACTAGATAGCCTGAAGTGGACTCACCTAAAGGTAAGCCTGTAAGTTCCCATAAAGTGGAAATATCTATGTATTTGGCTTACCGTGAGATGGTAAGTTATTTATCTGATAACAAGATGAGTTTTGGGCTGAAAATGTTAGCTGTGTTGAGTTTTAGAAAGATTCGTTGAGCGTTTTAGCCTTCTGGATAGATTAACACAGCCCAGCTGTCCACTTAAAGGGTAGGCAATGTTTTAACAATGGCTTGTCAAGGTTCTAGCATATCTACGGTAACTACCTCCTAGTTCTTAGCAACCAAACACATCCCCTTTTCTTGTGTGATTACAGATAATTACTAAATAAATTTTTATTCATTATAGATTTTTTCTTTTTAAAAGTGCATATAGAATTCACTGGACTTATTTAAGTAATTTATTCATATTAACTCATTTAATCCTTATTGCAACCTGACCAAGAAAGGAGTCATTCTTACTGTTAAGAGATGAGATTCACAAAGACCTTAGGTAGATTGACAAAGGCTCTCCAGTCAGTGGTAGGCTAAAACTCAAGCCCAGGCAGTCCGGCCTCAGAGTCTGTGTATTAGGTTAGGTATGCCACAGACTGTGTGAGACTCGAGCTTCTAGAGGAGCTGCCTTTGCTCTGGGGCCTCTGTATTTCCTCTACATTCCTTTCCATACTTAGTCTTCCTTAGTGTGCTGGCTAGTTTTATGTCGACTGACTTAAAGTAGAGTCATCTGAAAGGAGGAACTTCAATTGAGACCCGGCTGTCAGGTGTTCTCTTAATTAGTGATTGATAGGGGAGGGGTCAGCCTGTTGTGGGTGGGACCAGCCCTGGGCTGGTGGTCCTGGGTTTTATAAGAAAGCAGGCTGAGAAAGCCATGAGGAGCAAGCCAGTAAGCAGCTTCCCTCCATGGTCTCTGCATCAGCTCCTGCCCTGAGGTTCCTACCCTGATTGATTTCCTGTTCTGACTTTCTTCAGTGATGAACAGTGATGTGGAAGTGTAAGCCAAATAAACCCTTTTCTCCCCAAGTTGTTTTGGTGTTTGATCACCCCTGAGAGCTAGAGGTCTATTGCTTGATGTTTTAGAACTAAGGATGTATGGTTATAATCACTTAGGCTGTGGTAGTTTGAATAGGAAATGTCCCTCACAGTACCCCAGCTAGACACCACATGCTAGCAGATAGCAACCCCAGTATTAGGAATGGGTTACTTCCTTTTGAGTTATGGGCCAGAGGGGTCCCATAGATTTTCACACATTATAGGCTATTGCTGCTCCACACATTTTATGCAAACACTCCATAATTTGGTCATACGACCCTATTGATGGGGCTGGAGAGATGGATGGCTCAGTGATTAAGATCATCTGTTCTTGTAGAGGATCCAGGTTCAGTCCTAAGTATTAACTTGGTGGCTCACAACCATTTGTAACTCCACTTCCCGGTTATGTAACACCCTCTTATGGCCTCCCTGGGCACCGGGCTCATATATGCAAGCAAAACTCATGCAAAAAGTCTTTACTTTTATAGTTTTAAAGAATATTAGTAGAGCACGGAGGCCTGATCTTTCGGCGCCAGGAGACCCAGCATTGGGGTGAGTTTCTGGCCCACGGCGCCAGCCTGGGACGGGGAGCTCGGGGGTTTCTTGGCCCCCTGTCCTGCTTGGGCTCTCTGCAGGGCCTCTGCTCCCCGGGTGCTGCCTCTTTCTTCCTGGCCCACCCAGCTTCCATCCAGAGCCCTCCCCACTTCGCCCCCACTGCCCTCTTTTGGCGCGTGGCATCGCCCAGCCCAGCCTATCTGGGCGCTGGGTCCGAGTATCCGGGGCTCCCGGGGGGGCAGCAGTTCCTTTGTTTCTGTGGCCTGCCTGCACCAAGCGGGGTAGGCGCTTTGTCTGCGAGCTGCCCAACCAGCACGGAGGCCTGATCTTTCGGCGCCAGGAGACCCAGCATTGGGGTGAGTTTCTGGCCCACGGCGCCAGCCTGGGACGGGGAGCTCGGGGGTTTCTTGGCCCCCTGTCCTGCTTGGGCTCGCTGCTGCCTCTTTCTTCCTGGCCCACCCAGCTTCCGTCCAGAGCCCTCCCCACTTCGCCCCCACTGCCCTCTTTTGGCGCGTGGCATCGCCCAGCGCAGCCTATCTGGGCGCTGGGTCCGAGTACCCGGGGCTCCCGGGCGGGCAGCAGTTCCTTTGTTTCTGTGGCCTGCCTGCACCAAGCGGGGTAGGCGCTTTGTCTGCGAGCTGCCCAACCAGCACGGAGGCCTGATCTTTCGGCGCCAGGAGACCCAGCATTGGGGTGAGTTTCTGGCCCACGGCGCCAGCCTGGGACGGGGAGCTCGGGGGTTTCTTGGCCCCCTGTCCTGCTTGGGCTCTCTGCAGGGCCTCTACTCCCCGGGTGCTGCCTCTTTCTTCCTGGCCCACCCAGCTTCCGTCCAGAGCCCTCCCCACTTCGCCCCCACTGCCCTCTTTTGGCGCGTGGCATCGCCCAGCCCAGCCTATCTGGGCGCTGGGTCCGAGTATCCGGGGCTCCCGGGCGGGCAGCAGTTCCTTTGTTTCTGTGGCCTGCCTGCACCAAGCGGGGTAGGCGCTTTGTCTGCGAGCTGCCCAACCAGCACGGAGGCCTGATCTTTCGGCGCCAGGAGACCCAGCATTGGGAGAGCCAACATTGGGGAGAGACAGCGTTTGGTAGGCAAGGAGACCTAATCCGGTAAAAGAAGATCCATAGGGAGCATTTGGAAGAAGAGATGGGCCGACGTCAAGGCAAGAATTCGCCCAACAAGCTGAAAAGCAACATGAAGCTACCAGAAACAAGCGACCCCACAACGGGAGGACAAGAACCCCTTAATCAAGAGGAAGGAGAAAAGATTGACTTCATGAAAGTGATTGACACCC